TTTTTCTGGAATGTGTTGGAGTTTACACAAATAGCAAGGAGTAATTTACACCGTAACACTAGTGCATGGCATCTTGTCTGCAGCTTTGGACTCTACTTTAAATTTTTTTTACCATTATGTATTGTATATAGATTTATTAACAACCTTATTTTTTTTCTGGAATGTGTTGGAGTTTACACAAATAGCAAGGAGTAATTTACACCGTAACACTAGTGCATGACATCTTGTCTGCAGCTTTGGACTCTAGCCCTCTTGTCTTTGAAATAACATAGACTGGGACCTGTGGTCCAACTCTGCAAAGGCTCGTGTCTCATATGACTGTAAAGTCCCTTGTTAGCTGATATCCTCAGTATCTCTTCTTTGTTGCTAAAGCAGCTCAGCAGCATCCTGATCCCACCTGACTATTTTGTACTGACTCTTCAGTCAAGACTACCCATATGTGAGAAAAACTCAGGTCACGGCTCTGCTCTCTTAAAATATCTATACACAGGAGCCAATGGTCAACAGCAAATATTAGTAAGAATTTTATGGGAACTCAATAGTAATGAGCTTATTTTAAAAAGAAAATATTAAATCTGTCATACTTATAATTTTTTAATTATCTTGCTATGATATAATTATGCATTTTGGCTGCTTTCTCCAATTAAAATTATCTTAAAGCATTCCAGTAGAATCCAGGGGAATGAAGGGAGAATGGGAAGAAAGAAAAAGTGAATCTGCCACCTGAGTGATGAGGTTTAAAAACTGGAACAGAACTTTCAGGGTCTTCACTGTTCATAGCTACAGGCTCCAAGCTGGAATTGGCTATAGACACACACCCTAAGAAGCCTGGGAATAAGGAAAAGGGAAATACATAAAGAACTGAAACTCTAAGAACCCGTACTGGCTTCTTAAAGAAAGTTTAAGTGAGAGTTTTAATCTTCAAAGCCCAACTCTCATCCACATTCAAAAGACATATACATGAGGATACAAAACTGTCCAGAAAATGAATAGCCTCTATGCATGGAAATGATGATTCTATAAAGGCACTTTTCAGTAACCAGGAATTATTTTGCAAGTAAAATATGAGGCAGAAATTTGATGCGGATAAATATTGAAAAGTGTGCACAGTGGTTTTATCTAAACTTCTAAAACTCCATGATTTGCAAATTGGAATAGAAAATTGATTATACATTTTACTAACTCTTGTGTCATTTAATTGGGCTTGAAACATTGTGGAGGGGTGAGGAATAGCCTACAATAAAGGATTCCTTGCTTTTACTCCATCAAAATCCAGGACTTTAAAAATGAATACTTTAAGCACTTTAAATGCTCAGCTATATGGGCTTAAATAAATACTAGCACATTCATACAGTGGAAAGTCCTCCAGCCATTAAAAGTGATGATGATCTATGTTTACTGACGGAGATATCCTCCAAATATGTAAGCAAAAACAGACATTAGAAATGAACATGTCTATTAAGATTCAGTTTAAATGTAGGAAGGAAGAGGGCAATGTCGTGAAAGATAAAATGAATGGATGAATGAATGATACAAAGCTATATGCATCTGTACAGCTTTGGGATTGTGGTAGTAGAGGGCGGGTCTCTCCCTTTTGCATTTTATTACTGTTTGAAATGTAACTGTTTAATTTTATAATCCAACAAGGACAATGGTATTATTTTAATTTGGAGAAAAAACTGGACTATGAAATGTTTGGTTTATTTATTCTTAAGGTTTAGGTTTTATCTGATTTTTCTAATGTATTCTAGAGTATATTTATAGTTTTGTGGCAATGAACAGCTTTACTTTGGGCTTATTGCTGAGGAAGAATGCAGACATAGACCATGGTCATACTCCTCTGTAAAACATGAACAATTAATTGACAGAGTGTATTCAAGGGATTAATTATAGTGTTTTCAAGGGACAGTTAGGGAGATTGACAGACATGTACCTGCCTGTGTGTCAGTTTTGTTTAAATATTTGGCTTAAACCAAAAGAAAATATTATCCATCAATGATACTTTCTATATTTTAAATGAAAAGTTCTAGATAAAAGCAGAGGCCATAATTTTTATTTTAACTCAAACTGTTCAGAAGATTTGAAGTTATAACTGGAAATAGTATTTCCTCTGCTCTTAAGTTCTCCATGTAACCATGGGGATTTCATGCCTTCTGAAACTACAATGTATTTCATAATCACATTGAGTACATTGAGGAGAGCAAGGGAGATGGAGAATTAATTTAAATTTTCATTTCTAAGGATTCCTTTTCTTCTTTCCTTTTACTTGCAGAACGTGTACACAGTTAGCTTCCCCAAGCCTGGTTTTGTGGAGCTCTCCCCTGTGCCACTTGATGTAGGAACAGAAATCAACCTGTCCTTCAGCACCAAGAATGAGTCTGGGATCATCCTCTTGGGAAGTGGAGGGACCCCAGCACCACCCAGGAGAAAACGAAGGCAGACTGGACAGGTACCGCCACACCTGGTTAATAATGCGTTTTCCCTAGTGCTTATATAAAACAATTAATTCTGCTCTCATCTTGGCTAGCCAGGACTGAACATTCCACTTACCCATGCTGACCTCCTATTTCTCTCACATCATCTTCCTAAAACAAGTGTCCTCACTAGGATTTTCCTGTTGGTCAATTCCAGGTGCAGAGTCACACTTGTATTTGCATCTATATTTCATATGGATTTAATATATGCATACATAAAGAGGAAAGCTTAAAATATATTCATATTATATTAATCATTTTTTGTCTCTAATTCCTTACCGTATCTGTAGATACTCAGCTAGGGTTCCTTAAATTTAAATTTCAGTTCCTTCACAGATCAGTTTCCCAGTTGTACTAGCCAAGGTGATGCAGTCTGTTGAAGCCTGATTTGTCCCACCCTCTCTGGACACAGAGAAGGGCAGAGAATGGACCTGGAGTGGCAGAAAGCAAATAGAGCACAACCAACGCAATAGCACTCAAGGACGCAAAAATAAAGCCTAAAGAATATCTACTTTGTAAGGACGTAAACTTGAGTATTTCTATCCCCTGTCCATCTGATTTTGTTGGAAGCAATCTCTCAACTGCCCAGATTGAGGCATCATAACTCTTTACCACCTTGATATTTCTTTAATACCTTCGATCACATATTTTAAAATATAATTTCACATTTAATCTAATTTTTCCCAGTGAAAGGGTTTAAAGGAATTACTTAGTAAGTCTGCCATGACCAAAAGAACAGAATCCTTTACAAATATGTCCTGAGGTATGTACGTGCCCTTATAAACCAGGTCGTGTTATTTGTGTTTATATGTGTTTTAAAATCAATTTTAGCATGTAACATTTAGTGATCAATAATATTATATAATAAATCTTATTCCTTTTCCTAAAAAATAGAAAGCCTACACAAAATATTAGCAAATAGAATCCAAAGATGTACAACCATGAGTAACTTCAGTTATCTCAGGATGCAGGGGTTGTTTAATATTAGAAAATCTAAAAATCATACAATCATTTCAATAGACATAGTAAAAACATTTGGTAAAATTTAACACCTATTCATGATTTTTTAAAAAATATTTAGTAAACTAAGGAAGGAACTTCCTTAGCCATCTATAAAACACTGTAACAATTATTCTTGATAGGAAGACTTTATAAATGTTTGGTATAAAATCAAGCCCAAGAAAAGGATGACTATTGTAACTGCACTTATCTTAGCCAGTGCAATTAAAAAAACAAGCAAATACAGTGCAATAACAAGTATAATATAAGAACAAGTGTATAATTTAAGAATAAATGTAACAAAATAGACATAAAATCCATAGGGAGAAAATTATAAAATTTTATTAAAAACCACTAAAGTATTCCTCAATAAATGGGCATAGTCAACATTTTAATGAAAATACTTAATACTAAAAATATGCCAATTCTCCCCAAAATGATAATATGTAGGTTCAATTTCAAAAGAAATATCACCTTATCTTTTTGTGAATCATGACAAGTTTATTCTAAAACTTATATCAAAGGTGAAAAATCCAAGAAATTTCTGAAATAGAAGAATAAGGTGTTGGAGCTGTCTCACCAGAGATCAGCACATTAGAAGTTAGAGTTCTGTATTGTGATAGTGTGGTGTTAATTCATGGACAACACTGCGTAAGTGGAACAGAACAGAGAACCCTGAATATACCCAAGCATAGGTGAAAACAGCGTTTGGCAATAGGTGGCATTGCAGATCAATAAAAAAACAGTGGGCTGTTCAGTGAATGATTCCAGAGCAATTTCATTATCCATATGGAAAAAATTGAACTGACTCTATACTTCACATCAAACCAAAAAATAAATTTCTAATGAATTAAAATCTTAAATGTGAAAGGGAAAAAAACTTTAAAAATTTTAGAAGAATATATAGGGGGATAACTTTTGACCTTGGGGGAGGGAAGGATTTATTGAACAAAACAAGATTATAAGTGCAACTGCATTAAAAATAAAACTCTTTGGTCATCTAACAACACAAAAACAAGCCTCAGCCTGGAAACTTACACAACACATAACCTACAAAAAATTAGTAACCAGAATATAAAACTAACTCTTACAAACCAATAAGAAAAAGACAAGAAACATAGATAATAATGGACAGAAGACTTTAACAGGCATTTCACAGAAAAGGAGACATGATTGACCAAAAGACATATTTTTAAAATGTATATTTCATCTGTAATGGGAGAAATGTAGTTTTAGATGATGCTAGTTTTATACCCAATAGAATGATGAAAAATTAAGAAATATGATAATACCAAGTGTTGGAAAGACATGAATCAAAGGTAACTCTTAATCATTGCTGATGGAAAGAGTAAATTTCTGTAGCTACTTTGGAAAAAATTTGACACTGTCTTATAAAACTGAACATGTGCATATCTTCAGCAATTCCACTCTCAGGTATAAACCCAAACTCTCAAACATGTGCACAATGAGACATGTACAAGAACGTTTATAGCAGTATTCTTTATAATATTAATAGTAGAATAACTAGAAATAAACCAGATACTCACCAGCTAGAGAACAGATAAACACACTGTGACATTGTCACATAATGAGATATTAAGCAACAGTAAGAAGGAATAATTTATAGCTACACATAACAACATGGATGAATAGACAATAAATAGAAATGAAAAATGTACTGTATACTATATGATACCATTTCTATAGATTTTTAATACAAGTAGTGCAAACAACATACATGTGAATTTTCAAAAATAATTTTTGAAAAGTGAGGGAATGATAAACATAAAATCCACATTAGTGGTTACCTCTGAGATGGAGAAACAGAGAGACGGATTATAAAGAAACTCATTCGAGATGCAATGGTACTGTTTCTGAAATCAGGTGGTAGATTTACAACTATTTGTTTTATTGTAGTTTTGATATAGCTTCATCATTTATATGTATGTCACTTACATTGTGAGGAATGTATCAAATAGTCATAACAAAAATATTTTTTGAAGAATAGAGGGAGAAAAGTGTTATTTCATTTCTTATTGCATGTAATAAGCACTGAATAAATATAGAATATAAATCCCTCTTAAAGTCTTTGTCCTTCAATCCTGAAAAATAAAATTATTTTCTCACTATTACAAATAGTAAGCTAGTTATAATAAGAGGACCAGATCAAACATTCCGACGTAGATTTCCACTAAAGGATATTTGATTCCTTGGTCATTGCCATATAATTAAGCAACACCCACTGGCTCCAAATTTCTCCTCATCAGGACTAAAGAAACAGATGTGAATCACTAGCTTTCAGGATAGTTTTTAAAATAAAACAGTTTCCTATTAAAACAATTAAAATGAGAAAATATTAAGTACTGTAGTACAAAGTAAGTTAAAATGCTACTTTAATGTTTCAACATTTTAATGATAATAAATATCTAGTTTTTAAAATCTCATAGTAAATGCTGTTTCCAAGAGGAAACAATGTTTAACAGTTTGTGTCTGTTGTAGAATAAATGCTGGTTAAATTGACATATTATATATTTCAAGCTAACAGTTCTGATACCCATGGGGTTCATTGTGATTATGTTCTGCTGAATAGGTTGGAGATATCAAACAATCAGCTAAGAAATTTTTAATTTAGTGAGTAGTTTGCAGTTGCCCCTTTGACAAACAGTGAGTGCTAATCCAGATTTTCAGCACGTTTTGTGGTGGACATGTAGCCGCATAAATGACTTAGTAAATTATCAGAGACATGATGATGTTTGATCAAAACCGTCTCCACCACCATAGATGACTCGTGGAGGACTGAGTGATCACTGTGCAGCCATGCCCTCCCTAGTACTCAACCAGAAAGGGAAAGCACACGGCATCCACTTGGGGGACAAGGACTGCATTCAAGCTCCCTGGGGTTCATAATCGGAAATCAAAACCATACTGGTTGCTATGGTAACAGTAGCAAGAAGAGAGCAGGCATGTTTGTGGATGAAAAATTGTCTTCCTTCTTTCTAAATGTGGGAGACAAGTTACATGTTTGTGATAGCAATCTATTCCACCAGCTCAGAGAACAAATTGAAGTCTAAACACTCAAAATGCCATAAGTTTGAGAGTCAGACCTGATTTCCAGAAGCTAGCTGTCCACTTGTGAATACAAGGGAGAGGGATTTTGTTGACACCCGTTGTTTCCTGATAGGTTTTGTAAGTTACAGGACCAATACGAGCACAGCTGTTCTGTCAGCATCACAAATGTGCTTTGCAGAGAACTACTATACTGCTATATCCACTTTCCGCCTCGTCTAACAAGCACAAATGGTAAATGATCAAAAAGCTATTTCTAGCTGCTTTAAAAACTCTGTTTAAGAAAATATTAAGTCTTAACTTCTCAGGAAAGGTCTCAGAGTAGATCAATCTGTGGTTGTGTCAGGGAATCTCTAAAGCTAAGTCATAAATGAGACTCCTGTTTAATCTTCAATAACCATTTGCTGTTGCAGGCCTATTATGCAATATTCCTCAACAAAGGCCGTCTGGAGGTGCATCTCTCCACAGGGACAAGAACAATGAGGAAAATTGTCATCAGACCAGAGCCAAGTCTGTTTCATGATGGGAGAGAACATTCTGTTCATGTAGAGAGAACTACAGGGTAACAATAGCACTGGAGTACTTATTGCCATTACTAACATGAACTTCCTTTGCTAGCATCAGTCTCTGCCTGAACCTCTGTGTGTGTGGACGTACTATGCATTGCAGAACGATAAAGTGTTAGCTTAATCTCCTCTTCTTTACATTTCATACTCCAGGAGCCTCATTTACCTGGGCCCTTAGGAGTTCTACTTTTAACATTTTTATTCTGTGCAGTTCTCTCCTCCTTTGGAAAAACCAAATGCATCTTCTGAAGCTATAGATAAGAGAAATCTCTCCCTCCGCCCCTCTCAAATATTCTCTTCTCAAATAAGGTATGCACACAGTGAAGCGCACAGAACAGCTCAGCTGGAGCCGGCAGCCTTGGCAGCTGCTGTTTCATTCAGGTTCCAAAGCAGTTATGGCAGCTGCTTAGAAACCTGTCACAGATACGGAGCATGGCTACAGCTGCAGGACCTACTGAGCCTGTTAAGTGCACACCTTGTCCCTGTCCCCCTTCCCAAGGTGCGCATGGTCCCTACAGAGTGGCTTCACGAGGGAATAGCATCAAGGGAGAAAAGGGAAATAGCTACTGCCCCGAGATCAGCTCGTGGAGGTCACCTCTCTACAAATCCACTAGAGCACTTGCCCCCAGCCCTGAGCTGGAGAATTGGCCTCGATAGTGCACAAACTGATTTCTCATTTCTTCAGAATGCCGCAATACTTTCTACTTGCTTTATTGGGAAAGTCATCTGTATTTTTCATCAAAATATTATATGACAACTCAAGAGAGGTAATTAGTTTAGTAGGACAATTAGAAAAAAATGAAAACAGAAGCCCAGAGACTTCAGGGGCCTCAGACCTCCAAGCCAGCAATCCATTTATTAGATTGAAGACACAGAAAAGAACTGGAAATCAAATTTGATGAAACCTCAAAACACAGAAAATACTTGTAAATGCAATGCGTATGGATGTGTAGCAATAGTTCCAGTAGGCAAATGCAGTTGTTTAGTTAAAGATCTATATCTTCTAATTAGCCTCAAGTGGATAACAGATTCGTAATAAAAATTTCGTACCTTCTAAGTAAATAATAAAGCTTTTCTCAAATCATTGTTCTATTATCATATAGCGCATTAGGTTGTGGGCTGAATTGATACTAAGCACTCATGCAGAGTGTACTAACTGAGATGCTTAGAAGCCATGATTAAGACAAATGAGGGATCAATATTTGGACAAACTAAGAACTTTTACTAATCTAATAGCCAGATATTGTAGTCATGGTCTCTGAGGAGAAATGCAAACTGAATTTTCTCATTCAGGGAATCTTAGGGAATGCTGTAGAATACTGATTTTAAATGTCTTTTAGACTAGATTTTAGGCCCTTTGCCAAATTTTAATTCTTTTCATTGTGGAAAGGACTTTTTGAAAGATTTAAACTTTAAAGAATTTCAATAGAAAAAATGCAAATTTGAGAAATACAGTTGATCAAAAATCACCCAAAATATGTTATTTTTTAGAGAAAGAATTATGAAATTCCCAAATATATTACAGTGTTGTACTAAGGTGTCCTTTGAACAGGTGTTTCTTCAAGAAGGGCATTTTATTATGCCAACTTCACAGCTGTTGACCATCAATCCAACCTTTATTTGATTAAGCTCAGTGTATAGTACATCACTGAAAACTGGTCATTCAGTTAATTAGCCATATAAACAAACAGTTTTGCCATTCACTGTTAATTACAGGATAATGTATTGGACATATTAGCGTGTAGACACTGAACTCTGTGCCAGAACAAGAACACATTTGCTACCATAATGGCTCTTTCAACACTGTAAGGTCAAAACTCAATCGCCATCTACCCCATAAGCAAGTGCTACATTAAACTGATTAACAAGAGATCATAAATGACCACAAGAACTTCACCCAGAAACATTTTAATGCTTCATGTGCCTCTTCCATGGCATGACTTGTCAAATAATAGACAAAGATTATGCCTTTTAATCATTCTGAATGTATGTGAGATCTGTATTAATATTCTTTCTTCACAGATGAGAAAATATTAACTAGTTTGCCCAAAATCACATACTGCAAATAACAGAGCCAGGTTTTAAATGAGATATATTTTACTTAAATACCTCCATCTATGCACAGCCAACTATTAATTCTTACCCTTTTTTGTAACCCTAAAGATCTATATTACTTTATGTTGATTATGATATACTATTACTAATTTGGAAATACTTGCTTTCTCCCAATGCTTTTCGGAGTATACATGGCATCATCATTTCTTTTCCTAAAACCCCAGATAAGAAGATAAATTTAATACCACCTCACAAAATCATTGCACTTTTACCAAATTGGGGGCCAGATTTCTCAAGATGTTCCTTCTGTCTCGCCCTCTGCCTCTCTTTACCCCTCCTTCGTTATTCTCTCTCCTTTTCTACCCCTTTCTCTGGAAAAGTCTCTCTTCAGTCACATTGGTATCTAATTTCCTGGTTCTTCAGTGACTCCTGCCTTCTATATCTGCTTTGCCCTCTGATCTTTCTCCCGGAGTCCACCTCAGTGGCCAACAGTCCTAACTGGACAAAAACATCAAGCCCTAAGAGCCTGAAATAGTTACTTAGGCAAATAGGATACCAACAGAGTTGAATTCCTCCTCAGTGAAAGCATTCTTCACACAGGTACAGAATGAGGCTACAGATCATGAAGTAGGATAAGATGTTTCAGCAGTAATGTGAGGTTTCCAGAATGAGATCATGATTTGGACACTGCAACCTAAATATTTTCTTTCTTACCATCCAAAATATGTTTGATCTTAAAAAATTTCAGATTTTATTCTTCATGTAAATTACAAATGTCAGAGCACTTCTCTTAATATCTTCTTCCACATATACAACCCAATTGGTGGTGGCTTAAAAAAAAAATCTTAGACTAATATTCTAAACAGACAGAAAACAGAATGTAAGTAATAAGATACTTCATTATGAAACTCTAAGAATTGGCTGGGCATGGTGGCTCACACCTGTAAAATCCTAGCACTCTGGGAGGCCAAGGCGGGTGTATCGTTTGACCTCAGGAGTTCGAGACCAGCCTGAGCAAGAGCGAGACCCCCATCTCTACTAAAAAAAAATAGAAAGAAACTAGCTGGACAACTAAAAATATACATAGAAAAAATTAGCCAGGCGTGAGGACATGTGCCTGTAGTCCCAGTAACTCGGGAAGGTGAGGCAGAAGGATCGCTTGAGCCCAGGAGTTTGAGGTTGCTGTGAGCTAGGCCGACACCACGGCACTCTAGCCTGAGCAACAGAGTGAGACTCTGTCTCAAAAAAAAAAAAAAAAAAAAAAAAACACTCTAAGAATCAACCATTGAAATTGTAAAAAAAAAAAAATACATATATGTACAGCTGACCTATCACAATACTAATAGTAATGCAATGTTTAATATACTATTTTGCACATAGCAGGAAAAAAAAAACAGAAAACACAACATACCAGCATCATAATGGACGGCTGGTAATGTTTTTCTCTATGGAAGAACTAAATAAATGATCTAGATTTGATGCTCCTAGAATGTAAAATACAAACAGGATTCAGCTATAGTTCTCTAGCAATGCCCATATTAAGTAAGATAGCCTCGGGGCAATCCCTTAATTAATGTTTTCCTCCACTTGAAGTAGGTATTTTTAATCTCCATTGTACAAATGAATGAAATGAAACTGAGTATGATTAAATAACTTGCCCAAGGTCACACAGCTAGTAAGCTTCCAAACTAGTACTGAATTCCAGTCTGTCCCTTCCAAAAGCCCACATTCATTCTACGTCACCATCCTATGAACCAGTGAAGAAGGACCACTATTATGCTCCTTGGGCAGAACCAGGCTAAAGAGAGAGTCTACACCAGAAAGAGGAAGGCCGCTGGCTCTTTAAAATTCTAATCAAGAGCAGAGATTTACTCTCCTTAGAGAATCTTTAATAGTAGTTTAAAGCCTTCATGAAAACTCTTAGGAGCACTGTTATATCATGTTAGTAAGAGAATATTTTTAACCAAGGGGGAAAAAAGGTGTTGAAGGGAGGGGTTTTTCAGTGAGTCACACATATCTAGAATTGAGTGGTTTTCTAAAAGTCTCACGAAACCACCAAGAAAGCTTAACCTCCTGATATTTGCCAACACATTTTTCCAGAGTCTGGTAAACACACACACACACACACACACACACACACACACACACACACACACACACACACCCGGTATGTCATTTCCCTCCATTTTTCCTTTGAAACTAAATCTAACTTGTTCCTTCTCCTCTACCGCCTGAACGGTGACATTTTGAGACATAATGAAATCCATCTTTTGCTCCATTCTCTTACTTTTGGAGTATATCAAAGTGAACCAGTTTCTCAGTGCCAAATCAGAGCATCTTCGTCCTGGCTTTTTGTTTCCAGTTCTACCTGTAGTTTTTCTTTATAAAATAAGTAAGATGGCACTTTAAGACCGAGTTTCCCACTCAGTACTTAAAGTACTTTGGTTTTCTCCCCACGTATGAAGTAAGTTTTCAGTAATCCATTCATGATCCTCATTTGGGCTAGTGACTAATACTTATGACTAATAGCATCATGATGACTATTGGAACTGAAGCTCAAAACCTGCTTCTACAACAAAAGAGAAAATGCCTTTGGTCATTTTTATCATCAGAACCCTTTGTCTCCTTCTGAGTCTTTCCTCCAGGATCTAAGGATGTTGCGAATAAGTAGCATGAGGTTCTCAATTAGCAGTGTGTGAGTTATCTCTCATAAGCAAATTAGGGAAATTAATGAAACAGCCACTAAGGAAAATCATTGCAGGGAACAATTAACATGGTGTGATTGCCTGCCTCTTCTATTCAAAAGCCAGCAGCTACATTCTTTATAAAATCGTGCTGTAAGTGTTTGCTGTTGATTCCTGCAATCTAAGCTCTCAGGAGTACAGTTTGTCCCCTAGCAAGAAGATAATAGCCAGCACAAACCAAGAAATAAAGAGCCAAACAAAATGTGACCCCATGCTGTGCTAAACCCACTGATCCTGATACGATTAGACATTATTACACAGTACAGAAGCCTCAGTTCTTACGGGCTCATGTGTTGGGCTGCACATTACTGATGTCACCTCCACCAGAGGCCAATGTTGCAGCTACACCATTGCCTGGTTTCAGTAAACTTTGAGGGATCGTCAACGAGGGAGGCATGGGACAAGATCCTGAGAAATGAGCATTTGCTTAGTGTAGAATTCCTGATCACCCAATTTGGGTTCACTTAAAAGCTACGAGAGGGAGGGGTGAAGGCTGGGAGAAGAGAGTTTGATTTCCAACTGTATTGAACGTGATGTGATTCTGACTTGTTTGTTTTAAATGTTTTATCAGCATCTTGACGGTTCAAGTCGATGAAGACAAAAGACATACGCAAAACCTGACGGTGGAACAGGCTGTTGAAGTTAAAAAGCTGTTCGTTGGGGGCGCTCCACCTGAATTTCAACCTTCCCCACTCAGAAATATTCCTCCCTTTGAAGGCTGTGTATGGAATCTTGTTATTAACTCTGTGTAAGTGAATCTCCTAAATTTTCTTTGTTTTGGTGTAAGGATCACCAGTGCATCTACACTACTCAAAACCACAGGGGAGAAGAAAGGAACGAAGATGTTCAAATTAGATTTAGAAAATTGCACTGATGGTCTTAAAAGAGGGTAGGGTATCTGATTTAATTGTAAGGAAGCAAGACGATGAAAAGTTTTAAAATGTATTTTATTTCAATTATATTGTCTTAGCCCTATGGACTTTGCACGGCCTGTATCCTTCAAAAATGCAGACATTGGTCGCTGTGCCCATCAGAAACCCCGGGACGATGAAGATGGAGCCGTTCCAGCTGAAATAGTTACCCAGCCTGAGCCAGTTCCCACCCCAACCTTCCCTGCACCCACCCCAGTTCTGGCATATGTGAGTCTTTATATCCCCATTGCTTTCTAATTTTTACCCAGCATTTTGAATCTTTTCAGAAGGAAAATTACTCAGGATATCTGGTATACTCTACTGCTACAATTAGAGGAAGGGTAACCTGTCTATAAAAGCCTATTCTCACATCTTCGTTGGATTACTTTTATTTACATACATATATGTTCTCCTTTAGTTTTTTCTGTTTATAAAACAGTACATTTTCAGTTGAAAAGTCAGAAAGCAGAGAAATATCCAGAATCAAAACTAAAAGCCACCTATAATCCCACTGCACAGAGGCAACCATATTGATTTTCAGTCACTTTCATTTGCATTTTATGTAATAGATCATATACCACATTTACAATATGGTATCCTGTTTTTAAAAACTAGTAATACATAATTAAAACTGTTTCTTAATATCGTGAATGTATATGTCTAATATGATTTCATATGACATATATACACATGCACACAAACACAGAGACACATAAAATATTTTATAATGTTGGAGGTAGTATATCCTTGATTAGAGTGTGGACTCGGAGTCAGACTTCCTGTGTTCAAATCCTAGCACTCTAACCTACCACCTGTATGAATTTGCGAGGGTTACTTAGCTAATCTATTCCTCAGTTTCCTCATCTGTAAAATGGACACATATATCAAAGAATTATTATCAGGATTTTAAAAGATAATGTTTATTAAATGCCTGGCATAGACTAAGCATTTAAGAGATGACATAATTACTATACAGGAATAATAATAATTACTTCTTTCAAGTGCTTGCTATATGCCAGCTACTGGCTAAACAATTTCCATTCAATATATATGTCATTCTTATAACAAATCTATAAAATATAAACTGTCATCCCATTTTTAGTTGAGTTAATACACATTAGCTAGCTTAAGTAACTAATCCACTCACATAGCTAGTCAAGGGCAGAGTAGGAATTTGAATCCAATGGGTCTGACTCCAAAGTCTGGCTCCTGATTACTGGAACACTCTGCCTTTACAATTTATTCTACTTTTCATGGCTCATTCTGGACTATTTAGAGTGTTTCCAGTTTTTCTCTGTTAGAACCGTACTCTGATGAGTAACTTTGTACATCGAAGTTTTTCATCATTTCTGGTTATTTTCTTAGAATAGATTCATAGATTAATTATGAGGTCAAAAAATGACTATGAAAAAATGACTGTTTTTTCAACACACATATCTGAATTGCTTTTTCCACAAGCTACACCAATTTACATTCTCAACACCGATATATCAAAGAGAGTCAGTCTCACTACACTCTTTACACAAGCATCATGTTTATAATACATGCCAATAATGAGTGGAACATGTTGTCGCAAGTGAAGATTTTGAAAATTCTTGAATATCTCATTGTCTTCGTTAGTTTCCATGATGGAATTGGTTGTTCTGTAGAGAAATGTGCTCCTTGCCACTAGAAATATTTATTAAATGAGAAAGCAAACAGTCATCATTCAGGAAAACTGGTGATGTATTCCAAGCATCATTTCATCCTCTGTAAAATATAGATATTACACCTACGTTGCCTATCCTGTGGAGTTATTATAATAATCAAATGCAATAATGTGTGTGGTAGTTCTTTGAAAATTAGAAGAAGCACATCCACATAGCTACTGTGAGGAATCCCTGCATTTACTGAATAACAAGTATGTGTCCAGTACTCTGCTAGGCATTTTATATCCATTATTTCATTTGATCCCCACAAGCTATTGTTTTATTTACATTCATTTATACTCCTGGAAGTATTATTATCCCCATCTCACAAAAGAAAATACCTAAGATCACCCAACTAGCTAGTGGATGTATCAGTCATGTGGGATTAATACCCAAAGTTAATTTCCTCCTAAGGCATCCCTGAGATCCGCTGCATGGATTTCAGAATGTCTCCTCAGCTCTTTCGTAATGTGGCCTTGGGCTCGATCTCTCCCCAGCAAAGGGAAGGTTAATGATCTTCCTTCTCTTTCCCCTGCATCCTTTAAAAGCATGTGTCTCCTAGCCTAGAGAATGTGTTCTCAATTGAAGAATTCAAAAACATCATGAGTTGAATAGACTTTTTTGACCTTGGATCCTAATGTCCACTTATAAAATTGTTTCTAGAAGAAAACAGAGCCAAATTTCTAAACAACTAGCTTAGAATTATAAATTATAATTGGCAAGAGCCCTAGAGATCATCTGGTCCAATCGTCATCTTAACACATGAATTCCTTTTATATGATACTTGATGTGGGCTTGCAGCCTTTACCTGAACGCTTCATTAATGAGGGTTTTCCAGTGTTATGATGAGGCAGACTCTAGTTGCTAGAAAACGATTGATTAAACTAAAGTAAAACTGTGTCCCTATAACTTCTACACAATGATTGTGTTTCTATAACCAAACACATTACATTTTTATCTTCTCTATCTGATGTCCCTTCAAGGATTTGGGAATATCTAAGTCTTATCCTTCCTTAGACTGAGTATTCCACAAGCTCAGGTATTCTTCATATAACCCAATTTCTAATTCTCATACTTCCAGTGATTAATATTCTTAAGTTTGAAATATCTCTTTCAAAACATGGCACCTAGAATGTACTATACAACTGAAAATGAAATGATCAGTTCAGGGGACAGTACGACCCTTTCCTCCCTTAGTCTGTTAATGTTTCTATTAATGCACCTGAGAATGCTTTAATATTTTTAACACATGCATCATGATACTGACTCCTAATCAGGTGCCATATTTGGTCAAAGCAAAACCTAGTGCGTCGTCTTGTCACTAGAACTTCCTTCAGTCAGGTATCTCAGCCTTTCTGTGTTGGTTTGGTTTGGCTTGGTTTTTAGGGGAGAACCCTGCTGGCTTCCACTGAACACCTTACTTTTCCAAATGGCCACACAAACTTTGTTTTATAGGGCATTGCAAGCACATCACATTTTTTCCCTTTTTTCTCAAAATAAAGATACTTGCCCATCTGGGACTGAAGATTCTCACTCATTTGAGTTTTTTTTTTTTTATAACCTTCTGTTCTAATTCCAATTTCCATTTCCTCTCAGCAGTGTAGGTTTTAACTTTTCCAAAAACAGAGCCTTCCCTTTAGTAGATGAGACAGAAGCAAAGGAGTTGAGTAGCAGCCCAAATTGGTGGTTTAGGAAGAATTGCAGAACATTAGAGCTAGAAAACACCTTGAAGATTCCAACTCTTAATTTACACAGAGGAAGAAAAGCCGTAGAATGTACAGCATGGCTCGAGGTTACACGCATGAGTAACAGTTGGCACTGAAACCCAGATATATAAATTCCAACTGCTGTCTCCCCTTCTCTTGCACATGACACTTATTAATGACTGTGTGGTCAGAATTATATTTCTAGAACTTTCCATCTCTATTGAATTACATTGCACTTTAGAGTTTCTAATCTTCTCTTTTAATTTGATTTCTTTATGTTCTTTCTTTTTTGTGTGTGGGAAGAGGTGTCTTCTTTTTAAAGGTTACTAACAGTAAAAGGATTGACAATTTATTTTATAACAAATATTTATTAATATCCTACTAAATGCAAATATGAATAAGATATGATTATTGCTAGCCAGGGAAAAAGAGAGACATGCTTCTCCTGCCATGGCCCACCGACCTTTCCTCAATGAGCTCTGGCAGGTTTTGTGTCCTCTCTAAATCTAAGATAACCCACTGAAAAATAAGAATAATAATATCTCCCTTCAAGGATTACTATTATGAGGGAAAAAACTGTACATTGTATACAAAGCACCAAGCACAATTCCTGGCTCAAAGTAATACTCCATCGCTCTATTAATTCTTCTGTGTTACTTTAACTATAACTTCTGTGTTAATTTAATTCTATTAATTCTTCTATTTAGTTTAACCTTTCACACTTTTAGTTTGGGGACATGTGCTAGGAAAAAGGGAGTGTGGGGAGTATTCCATTTTGAAGCAATTACAAACTCCAGCATGATATGGTTCTTATATTTCAAGTCTCCCATAATTTTTAATTCTCACCATTTTCTTTTTTTCAATCAGAATTTATATTTTTAAAAATTATTTAAGAACTAAGACGTAGGTTCTTAAGTTCAAGTTAATTCCTTTAGAGGAACTGCCTGTTTGTGAGCCCATGTTTGTTCTAACACAGTTAAAAAAATGACCTCCTGGTTTCAGTGCCTTCTTTGTCTCCTTTCCACCAGTCTCACCCAACCCTGCCAGCCACTTAGGGCACGAGGACGATACTCACCACACTGTAGAGTAACGCAGGAGTGTCTGGAGAAAGCCCTTCCCTGTGAAATGGATTATGTCAAGCTCGCGATTAATGCATGTTAGGACATCATATTATAGATTAGACAGCATTTCATGCATATTATCTCATTTGGTAATACGGAAGCTTATCTTCTCTTTCTGCTTCTCCCTTATTTTTTGCCCATTTAGAGCTGGAGAAAACATTTCTGCACATTACATTTTTGGATATTTCTCATGGAGGATGGCAGGGTGTGGGGGTAGATAAGAGCCTGGATGTTGAGTATTACAGATATTCGTTGACATGTTGAAATGTAGCAAGTTCTCTACAAGTATGTACACTGTTTATACCAAGTCTTTATAACAAGCAGGGCCTGTGTGGATTTGTATGCAAAATGAGCTGGCTGCTTTTTCTTTTTAAACTTCAATTTTATTGGAAAGTTGAACTGTGAACGTCAAAGTTTAAAACTTGAGAACTAAGAAGAGCAATACAAGAGGCCATGAAGAGTTCTAGTGCTAATAAGGGCTCTTTGGGAGTTGGGGGAAAGAAGTAGGCAGAGGAGGAAAGACTAGAGGGGGAAAGAAAGTGATTTCTCTAGCAACTGTAACGCTGCAACTTTAAAAGCTAAGTACAGTCAAGGCCAAAGGATAAATTGATTGCATACTGATATCTATTTAAAGAGAAAGCAAACATTTTCCACACTTCAAGAAATCTGTTCAGGAGTTAATGTGCCAATATTACTATAAAATACCCTCTACCCACCAAAAGAACTCAACTGAACATAATTCAGTTTCTCAATAAACAGCTTGAGTAGGGATTGTATGTTTCAGAACATTAAAGTCAGTGCTGTAAAAAGTATCTTTTGCTTATTCATCCATAAAGAAGATCATCACAAATAAGCATCAGATGTGATTTTAGCTCATATTTATTAGGGGAATTATTGACTCATGAAAGAAGAAAATTATGCAATTTTATGATGATTCATCGTTTGGTGCTTTTGAGAACAAAGATGCCATTTTTTGATAAATGCAATTTAAATCTCTGCTCAGGGCCTATCTAAATTCAAGGGATGCTTACCAACGAGTCATATGCTATCTTGAATCTAATAACTCATTTCCAAATGCCAGCCACCAACCAGCAGTTAGAAATGACCACTGCTTTATTCTGACCTGAAATTAAATGACTGCTCTAATAAACAGTTGCACTGTCATGGTAGACTCCCTGCCCAAGTCCTGTCTGCCTACAACTTGTCACCTGCTAAGCAGAGACAAATAAAAAGCAAGCACATCCTGTCCTCCTTTCATACCACGTTTTCCCCATATATACTTATAGTACTTTAAAGAGTTCCCACAAGGTGGCAGAATTGTAACACGTGGAGATTGATGAGCTTCTACTGAGACCCTGATTTTTTTTTTACTGTTGTTTTAACACATTTCAGAGATCAGTGTTTCCAAAACAACACAGGTGAAGCATCACGTCCATCAAAGTGATGACTCCTTCGAGCTCATATTAGCTTAGAGGAGGAATATTCATCTTGCAATGACTATTCTTTAAAGATTCCTTAAAATTACCTCATTAGAAGATCTCTCCTCCTACCCCTTTTTCTTTAGCTTAGATTTCTATGGGAAGCAGGGTTGAAAACGTCCTTACTGACAAACTCATTTCATTCCTGTGCAAAACACAGGGCACTTTCTGTTCCATCCTACATGTTCCGCTTTAAAATGCTAGAAGGAAAAAAGAAGGTTGAGCAGCAGGATAAGCAGCATCTCCCACCAGGGGACGTGAGGGAGGAGGACGAGAAGATGACCACGGCAGGCAAACCAAAGGACTGGCACTGCCCTGCACCCATCGTAACATCAGACCCGGTTTCAGTGCACCCAGGGGAGAGTGATGCACAGAAGACATGACCCAGTCTGGTCTCCCTTTAGCCAAGCCAGGGGAGAGATCTAGATTTGCACCAAAACATTACCACATTAGTGGTCAGAGAATGTTCACCTCATTTAAATGCTAAAGTACAACCATATAAAAACCCTCTTACACCAGCACTTCTCAGTCCTTTTCCAACTGACAGTTTTACAAAGGAAGGTCATCGAAGTTATATTAAAGCAAGACCCATAATATCCATCCTGTTGCAAATCGATGATAGTAAACACCATCTTGGATGTCCTTAAAGAAAAAATTTATCTTAATGGTTTTATACTTTAAGGTTACCTGTTAGAGTGATCAGCTTGGTACCATTCTCCTTTATGCCATTGGCCAATCTAAGAATACTGTTTCATTAACCACTGCTTCTGCCTGCTGCTTAAGATTTATTCACTGCAAAGGCGAAGCCGGATCCCCTCCAGGAGGTGCTCCTCTTCCTAAGTTTCAAGTGCGTGTGTCATGAAATGATTCTTAAAAGGACCTGAACAAAGTCCCTGTCCTTCTCTGGTCATAGTTTTTTCTAAAAATGGCTTAAACAGTGCCTTTCCCTCTAGAAAATCTGATAGAATATCACAAATCACTGCTGCTCAACTCTGGACCAGGTTTGGAAACACCTGTCCACTCTACCAGCAAGCGAAGTTATTATGGTGTTTGGTCTGCCATGGGACAAAAGCTCTCCACAACATACAGCTGCTACCAATAAAATAATCTTTACAACTGCCACCTTGACAATTTTAAAAATTGTATTATAAAAGTTATTTTATATTAACATCTATGTATAGTAACTGGACCAGTGACTGCAATAATAGCAATAATATGGACGTAACCTACTGGTGGTTTTCTTTTAGGCTACACGTTATTGTTTCCTAGTTCTTCAGCAGTCATTGACCTTTTCAGTCCCTCAGTTTCCAGAGCTGAGGGTTTAAAGATGTTTTAGTGAAATTCTGCCCCTAATGGACTCACAGCAGATAGGATTCTCTTAGACATTTCTGAGGAAAACTGCAGGTTATGTATGTTTGTTGAGATGGTCCTCTGTACAGGAAATGTCATGAAAGGTTGATAAATGATCCCAATTCTATTAATAGCAGCATTCATAATGGAGACATTAAGGTACCAAAGCCTCTCCATTTGGGCTCTTTTTGCAGGCAGGGTAATAAGAAAGGTGCCACACGTTGATTCCAAAAGAGGCCATTCAGCTGTGCAAATGAATAGCATTTTCCTGTCCTACCCACTGGGTTTTTGCATGGCTGTGTGAATTTCAGCCACAGCCTGCTCTTTCTAACTGACCATCTCCTGGGAAGCAAGAAGGGAAATACTTCCATGAAGACCAATTTTATAGCATTTCAAAACACTTTAAGCCTTTTACCTGCTGTGGCAGAGTGCTCCGTTTGACTGAGATCAAGAGAAAAGAGAACAAGGCTTTCCCTCATCAAGTCAAAATTTCCTGTGTGCTGATGAGTCATCTCTGAGTACACTATTTGGGAAGAACACTCTGCATCAAAAGCCTGCCTTGGGCTACTCGAGAACCTCTGCTGACTCAGCGCTCAGTGGGGCAGTGGCCCAGCCAGAGCTATTAAGTGCAGATCTTAAAAACAGATAGTTGGGGAGAGAGAGTGTGCAGGTTATTTATTTTCTCATGCGCTGCGTGTTCTAAAAGACTTCCTAAGCAGCCTGTACATCGAGCTATCTCGTATGAACAAAAATAGAGAACAGGGAAAGGAACTGTGGCCTTGGTAATTTAAGGTGCCTTGATTATTTATCGAGCTATGCTTTAGAGTAGTCAAATATGATCCTCTTAGCCAGGACTGGCTGTATAATTTGCAAGGCCTAGTGCAAAATGAAAATTCAGGGTCCTTGTTCAAAAATTATTAGGAATTTCAAGATGGTGACAGCTGAGCATTAAACCTTGTTGGCTGCACAGCCGTGCACCTAGCTCTCCCCTCTTAAGCACCCTAGGAAGCTGATCTTTGAACAGTGGCAGTTGAAATGGTGTACAGTGGGTTACATTTTTAAAATGTTCTGGGTTGCCTAGCAACTGGCTGAGGGCCTGAATCGGCTGACTTGCAGGTTTAGATACACCATCTTGAAAGTCTAAATTCCTGGAAACCTTCTAGTGGACGGATGATTTTCAAGGAAAAGTAATATAGTGGGAGATGGAAATGGGGAGGGCAAGAAGGAACACGTTTTCTACTCTTATAACCTGGGTGGCTAGCTTGTCATTTTCCATGTTCAATCTTCTAAGAATAAAACTCTTCACAAGTGAAGTAAAAGTGAAAAGGAAATTCTAGTTTTCTCAGAAATATAAACAATATTTTTTCTTAGGTGATAATGAAAATATTAATCAATACATATTTTTGATCACATTCATTTAGCAATCCAAGGGTATGATATAAGAAAACTGATTCACATTCACTAATGACTTAATAATAAGTACCTACTATGTTGTAGATTACAGAGATGAATAAGAGACAGTTTTTATTTTTAAGTAATTTAAGATTATATGAGGACATTAATATATAAGAAACAATTAGACAGCATTTCCTTTTTAAAGAACAGAGTCCATAATCTCCTCTCTTTATCTTCTTTGTATTTTACAGGGTCCTTGTGCTGCAGAATCAGAACCAGCACTCTTGATGGGGAGCAAACAGTTTGGGCTTTCGAAAAACAGTCACATTGCAATTGCATTTGATGACACCAAAGTTAAAAACCGGTATGTGTTATTCTGAGATATTGGGAAAGAACTGATAAATGAAGAACTGAGTACTCTCATTTAATCAAGTTTGATCACGTACATTTATTAATTAATGAAGTTAGTTGTTTTTTTTTTTTTTAATTCACTGAGTACAATAGAGAATAGAATTCTGTTTTTCTTAGACTAAGGAACCCAGTTTAGGAAATCAGTAGCCTTGGAAAGTCCTCATCTCTGAGAAGGTTTTACTTTCCTATATGAAACTGCACCTATGATCTGACACCAGAATCTATTTTAGCGTAAGTATGTTTTTATTTTTCTGTTTTACTTTGCACGCTTTTGTTTCACAGTCTGACAATTGAGTTGGAAGTGCGAACCGAAGCTGAATCAGGCTTGCTTTTTTACATGGCTCGGATCAATCATGCTGATTTTGCTACAGTTCAGCTGAGAAATGGATTTCCCTACTTCAGTTATGACTTGGGGAGTGGGAACACCAGCACCATGATCCCCACCAAAATCAATGATGGCCAGTGGCACAAGGTAATAATCCCCCAGATGTTGACCTTAAGAGGGGGTTCCTGGGTGGTGGCCATTCAGCATTCCTCTGGTACCAGCACTATTTTGCCAGTGCAGACACTGGCTCTGGTGTTACTGAATGCGACAGAGATTGAGAATAAAGCAAGTACCACAACAGTATGCAACTGCCACAACCTCGGAAAATGTGATCAGACCTGGGTAGATTTATCTTTGACCACTTACATGCCTCATCACTGTGCTACAAGATTCCATCATTGTTATAGGGCTGTGGTTCTCAAACATCTATCTACAAACCAGGGCCAGGTAGTCAAAGACATTTCCACTGTTCTAAATGAGAAACACGGGACAACAGAATGTGTTAATCAAATCATAAAGCCCTGTGTATTCAGTTTAAGGGAATAATATTTACTCTGAGATTATATTTTCCTACTTTTAAGGTGCCAAAAAGGCCTCTCTTTTATGAAATAATATTTGTCCAAAGTAAAAGTGGGCAATACTAAAATGAGTCCTAAGACTTATCCCCGAACCTCAACACACACTGGTCTGTGAAAACCAGAGTCTGGGAATCTCTGCTAGAATGTGTTTAAAGGGCTCTAAGGTATCATTTCCACTGACAGTCATTTGGAACAACTTTTAAAATGTTGGCCTTACACCCAGAAACTGGTACTGTTATGGGCACAGAAGGCTCATTTGCCAGCCTACTGTCCTCTTTGGCATGACTGCAAGTAGATAATATACTGCCTGATTAAAACAAAAACTCAACATTTGTCTCTGCACCTGTGATGGCCTATTAAAGTAAAGCTTCCCTAGGTAGACCAATAAAATTTTTAATTTTCAGAGTAGGATATTGTTGAATGTTTAGAGTTGATATATTAACATACTGTGATTTGTCACATCATATAGACAGCCAAAGAACCTTAAAAAAAAATACAGACTCAAAGTCAACCAATTTGTTACCTAGAATCTTCATATTTAGGTTAAGTACGGAATGTCCAATTTCCTTAAATACTAAGTTTGACAGTTGGTATCTCTGACATTTCACCTTGACACTTCTTGTTTTATTTTTATTGCAAAGGTATATCCTCAGTCTTGCAAAAGCACATTTTGTCTTGTGATTATCTCTCAAATTTTTTTAGAACAAATTTTTGTAAAACCATGGATACGTCAAAAATTCATTTTATTTTCGAATATGAGTACATTGCGGAACCAATGCAGCGCAGACAGCTCGAAATATCAACGAAGTGTTTGGGAAGGATGTGGCTAATGAACGCACAGCACAATGATGGTTTGAGAAGTTCCATTCTGGTGATTTTAATCTTGAAAATGAGTCACGTGGATGATCTGAGACCAAGGTGGATAATGATGAGCTGAAAGCTATAAGTGGAAGTGAATCCATCTCAACCTGTGTGTGAATTAGCAGCAAGGTTTGATGTTACTATTCCAACAATATTGAATGACTGGAAACAAATGGACAAGGTAAAGAAGCTGGATAGATGGGTAGTGCAAGAATTAAATGAGTGTCGGGAGAGAAATCGTCTTGGAGCTTGCCTTTTTTTGCTGTCACAACATAAAGGCAAAACATTTATGCACCATATTGTTATGTATGATGAAAAATGGATTCTTTCTGACAACCACAAGCATTCGCCACAATGGTTCAATAAAGATGAAGTGCCAAAACACAGTCCAAAACCAAATATCCATCCAAAAAAGCTAATGGTGTCTGTTTGGTGGTCCAGTGCTGGTATTATCCACTACAGCTTCATGAAACATGGTTAATAGATTACAGAGGATGCCTGCTGCAAACAATTGGATGAAATGATGAGGATGCTTGTGATTAAGCAGCCGAGATTGGTCAATAGAGACAGGCCAATCCTCTTACAAGAGCATATGTCGCAAAAAACAAGTCTGCTCAAACTACAGAAGCTGGACTTGGAAACTCTCTGTCATCCACCATCTTCACCAGACCTTGAACCAACGGACTAACACTTTCTCCAGGCTTTGGACCACTGCTTGCAAGGAAAAATATTGCTGAGAAACTCGATACTCAACAAGCTGTGGAAAACACCTTTCATGATTTCATTGCGACTCGCTCTCCAGGCTTCTTCACTGCTAGCATACACAAGATGGCAAAACTTTGTTGATAGTTTAGGCATATACTTTGATTAATTGTACTGCCTCTTGTTTGAGATGTAACAAACCACACTTTTGCTTCGAAAACAGACATTTCATATTTAATGACCTAAATATTTACTAATATTTATGTCCTAATATTTACTTGGGAGCTTATGACTACCAAATACTGATCCTAATGAAGGAGCTCTCATTAAGGTTTCTTCTCATCTCTGACTAGTAGAATAATAAATATGATGTGAGAAAAAGACATATTGTTGGCCACAGTGAGGCTGGGGTTAAGAAAGGAGCTTAAGTACTATAATGAAGAAAATTAAGGACAAATTTTATTTTTGAAGGTTTTTAAAAATTACTTCCCCAACGAGAATAGGTAAGTGTAAAGTGAGGCATTAAATTACTCTAATCCTGATCCAGACTCATTTTTAAACCATCATTGTACTCAGCATTTCTCAAGCTTACGTGCTCCTTTTCTAAATTCAGACTCAAGGTTTTTATATTCAAGCCAGTCTTCACACCCCTTATTTCATTCTGTCTCAGAAGATAATTCACTCCACTGCCGTAATTTCAGCATCAGTCAGGTTTCCATCTTCCTCCCTGACTTTGTACTGATCAGCTGCTGCAGAAACAGCATACAGCTGGGATGTGCTGCTCTTCCTTTAATTCTGCATGAGGGCCTGTTAGGCAGAGGGACATAGCATATCTGAAATTGTGTTGAGAGCCCAGGCTTTGCTCAATCTAAATAATGCACTTTTAAAACTGGGCATATATACTCTGGTTTCTCTTCAGATCATATAAATCTTTTGCCTGTTAAAACTGGACATAAATTTTACAGCCCACTTAATTCATGAAAGTTATCAGCATGCAATTTCCTTATGACATGCCTACCTCTTGATACATAGGCACATTTGGCAACCTACAGAATAAACTTCAACCTAAAACTTACCCAGGAAAATTTTGCATTCTTTTGGCAATGGTAGTCACGGAAAAGATGGAGTTTGAGCTATTCTGTAAAATAGGTTTACTTTCACTTCTATTATGGGCTTCACTAGGCACTCTATAAGTCATTTCTCTTTTTCATGGAAATATCCTAAAAGTTCTATGTCTTATACTCTGCATACTTGGAATTTGTTCAAGATTGGCATTAATACCAGCCTAGAATCTTGTACCCTGCAAAACTAAGCTTCTTATAGAAGGAGAAATAAAGACCTTCTCAGACAAGCAGAGACTGAGGGAATTCATCAAGACAAGACCTGCCCCCCAGGAAGTACTCAGAACAGTGTTGCACATGAATCAGCACAATAAACACCCACCTGTGTAAAATCATCCAAAAGCTAAAGGTCAAAGGTGAGATACCACAATGGCTCAGGAGAGAAAACAAAGCAATGAAGTTAAACTCAACAGGGTGAACAGAAATCTTCCCCACTTATCAATTCTTTTAATAAATGTGAATGGCTTAAACTGCCCACTAAACAGACATAGGCTAGCCACATGGATAAATATACACAAGCCAAGTATCTGCTGTCTTCAGGAAACACATATAACCC